TGAAAGAAAGCTGGAAAAGATTTGTCAACACCAGGATCTCCCAAGACTTGAACAAAAACCTCTAAGGGAGTGCCTTCCAAACTGTACAGTAACTTTACACATTTTTGCTGTTTTGGAAACCAACCAACAACTGTTTACATTTCATGACTAACAGGATTTGCGCTTACACTTTCCCTTTGTTGCCAGTGTCGGGAAAACTTGAGAGTGCAGGGATTTTGCAAATGCTTGTAATAGAGCAAGAGAAAGCAAGAGAGGGAATAGAGAGAAATGGAGAAAAGAACCAACAGGCCAAGAAGGCATCACTGTTACAGAGGAGAGAAAGAACTGGTGAGGGTGTGCTACAACTTAAGCTGAAAGCTTGAAGAAACGCTTGCAAAGCATGCACAGCACAGCCCATGTGCATATAATGAGAGCTCCAGTGGTCAAATATTTCCATTTATCATGTTTCATAAGCTAGAAATGACCCAAGTTTAAAACTTGTAAAAGATGGCATGTGCAACAGATCATCCCCACCTGATTACAGAGAAATCCCACCCAACACACACACCAAGTTGACCAAGATGTGTTATTCTACCAAATTTCGTAAAGTTGTGGAGTGCCAAATCACACTACACAGCCCCCATATTCCCGGCAGCATATCAAAAAAATTCATACTTTCTTGCAGAATTATATAAAATTCTAACAACTGTCATTTAAGAGGGAACACCTTGTGAGTCACGCAAATCCTCCATCCCGAAAGTATCCCCACACCTGCCTCCCAGGTGTCAGCAAAGCCCCATCCTTGTTTTCACAGATGTTGTGCGGAACACAGCACACAGTTATTATTCCAGACAGGTACTATTTAGTTGCCTCAAGCCTTCTGGTTTGTACCTGCCATCTACCTTTCAATTTCCCAAAGGCATGCTCCATTGTCATCCTGCAGCTGCTTACGTGGTAGTTAAACACTTATTTTCTACAATGCAAATATCCAGTCAAAGGCTTCATTGTTAATGTTTTTAGGGAGTAGAGTGAGTCTCCAGGGATAAGAAAAGGAATGCTGATGCTAAAGGTACCACGTTGCTGGCTCTTCCCCCTACCCAGTTATGCATACAGCCAGCTGTGCAATAATATACATGAGAATTTTTTTCCTTCCTGACCCTTCCCCAGGCAGCAATCACTCCATGCCCTGAAGCAAGATACTTCGTTCTACTTCTACTATCTTTTTTAATTTCTCCCTTCCGCATTACTAAAAACAAGCAAGATTTTCTGAAAAATCTAACACCTTACACTGCAATAAAATTGGTTGATCTAACATGTAGCTAAGAAAGGTATTGCAGCACACTGAGGAATCAGCCTTTCTCTTTGTGAATGCCAGCAACCAACGTGAAAAGAAAATACAAACAGGGGTTTCATCAACAGTTTGAGTCACAAATTCCCCACACTCAAATCTATTAGTAAACTCTTGAAAGCTGGCAAGCATTGTCAGATGCAATACCACTTTCTCAATAGCAATACAATGACTTTTAGAAAAAAGCCATTTCTAGGTCTGCTAATTCATCTGTGAGGACCAGATGGCAATGGATAAACATTTTCATGAAGATACAGAAGGTCACAGCTGGCAAAGAGCTTCTGGATTTCCTAGGTAACCCCCATACGCATCGTCAGGAAAGCACATACGGATGTTCTGAAGCTCAGGTGCCACTGCCAGTCATTGCTGGTGATGGCACAGTCTCCCTCATCTCCACTCCACATATTTACTTGAAGATCTACACATTTCCAGTGTCCCTGTTGTCCGTAATGATCCATTACAGATTTGGAAGTTGTGCTGTCTTCTTGAAAAGAAGCAGCTAACAGATGGCATGAGAGGAATCATGGGATTCTGCTAGTTTGATTTTCAGGAGAAAACTTTGGCTGCGTATCCAACCAAGAGCTACAGGCATAATCCCACAAAGCTGAGACCGGCCCCAGCAGCAGCACGCGGACGCACGGCAAGAGCTGCCGCGCCGCTCGGACGCTCCTCCATCACATCGAAGCAGCGACCTGTCGTGAAGCAAAGGGCTGTTTGTTACCGTGCCTGTGTTTTGTGCCAATTATGAGGCAGTTACACTGAAAAATGTCGCTTTGATGTAAATCTCTTCAGGCAGCGAATGTTAAACACCACGCACCGCTGGGTAGGTGCACGATTTCGCAGGGCTGGCGCCCGCATCCAGGAGTAATTAGCAAGACTGCGCGAATCTCCAGCCCGTGCGCCGGACTGCTGGGCCTGGCGCAACGGCTACACAGCGGGATATTGTAATTAGCAGAGATGCAACACGCCGAGTAATTGGAAAGATATGGAAATACCACTGAAGTTCATCGAAGGGAAGAAATCTCCTTAGATCTAGCCAACTTCGTGTCACCATGAAGCTCAGGGCTCTTCCCTTGCGGCGGTGTGACGGAGCACAGCTATTAAAAAGCGGTAATTTCATTTTGGCTGCGATGCAGCCACCGTTCCCCGGGAAGCGAGGAGGGCCCGGGGGCCGAGCCCTTCTGCCCGGTCAGCCGGCCGCGGAGCGCGGCGGGGGGAGCCCTGGCT